AAAGCATTATGCGAGCGATAATATAAATCAAACCGTAGAAATAAGCGATCTGTGGTAAGTTTATCAATGCATTAATTTCATGTATCATGTAAATATGAGAATGTTTCGAATAGTAGATGAAATCGTTATCTATAAGTAATAAATGTATAAAATTGATATTCGCCATCATGTTTCATCTGAAATTATTATATTGTACTCCTATATTTTTAATCCTAAAAATTATGAATATTTTAAAATTAAGCACTAAACTGCTAAAGGTAGAGCATTAATTGTTACTATTTTACCAATTACTGCATCAGTTATCACCTTTTACGTCTACATTAGGTTTAAATTTTCAAATCTATTGATGAAATCTATATCATAAACTACCAAAAGTAACAATAACCTAATAAATTATAAAAGCACTAAAATAAAAACAAATCATTTACTTCCTAAAATGGTTATAATTAATTATTTTAGATAATGATCTACTTATTTAATAAAATATTATTGAAAAAATTTCCATATCAGCGGAGAGGCCACAGTACCTGCATTTATAAATAAATATTCCCTAAAGATTCGGAAATATTATATAAAAAAAATCACTACTTTGATATACAGTAATCATCCCACATTGATAAATTATAGCATAATTATTACATATCTTAGTAAAAGTTATTAACCAACTTACATTTATTAATAACGCTATTGTTAAAATTACATGTAGAGTATTCATATGATGTCTTCCAGCGATTTTCCTTGCCATTTTCGTTTAGTAAATGATTATTATAAATGAATTATTATAGTTGTGCCGCAGCAAGTAATCAATTTCTTTCGAAAATTATCGCAGTAACTAGTGCCTTACAAAAACAATTGAAGAAAAACTGAACATGTCTGTGTGGCGTAACTACCATCTACTATTCATCATATAATTTAGCTAAAATATTCACAAAATTTATATTCTTTAGGTCAATTGAGAAATATATTCTTTTCCCTATGTAATGACCGAATAATAGTCTTTTACTATAACAATTAATTTTTAACAGCTTTATATATAAATCTATTTATCGAGTGTGATGTGATTAATATTACTGTTACAATCGACAAGGAAATTAAAACTACTACAAGAAAATTAACACTATGAGCCTGCTATCAGGTTTGTCATCCCATATCTAGCTACAATACGATTCCAAATACTGACGATCATTTTATTTTCAGCACGTTAAAGTAAACCACTAGTCTCTCTTAGATAAAATTAAACTTAAACTCGTAAATTTTTAGTTACTAATGCACAGATAATATAAAATTATGTATAGCATCATAGCTAACGATATTATGTAAGGAATATCAAAGTATGTTAGTTGGCGAAAGTAAAGAAGCGTTAGTTTACAAAATTCATTTATTGGTAGCTACATGTAAGATTCAACAATTTCATAAGGTATAAAAATCATGTCATAAAATTAACCTATGTTTACTAACCTCTAACATGAGATTGAATTGAACTTATATGATTTTCGATAAATCCATAATAATAAATTAATAGACACTCGCATAAAAATTAATCTTTTAATTTGAAGATTGTCTTAGCACGGTATAATAATAAAGCATAACTTATTATTGTTTACATTGTTAATAAATCACGATTTTATACCATGTCCAAGCTTTGTATAGTCGATAGTGAACGGCTTATTCAATTAAACTACATTCATAACGCAACCTTTTAGAGCATTATAATTAAATAATTTTACTATGACGTTAAGGCTAAACAATAAAATTCGAAGCTAAGAGTCAAAAACTACAAAATGAGAAATTAAAAGAATTACAGGAAAGTGAATTTTGACGATACACCAATATAATACAGATTAAATACTGACGTTAAAGTAATAAAAAAGTCGAAACAAATCTAATTTTAGCTTGTATTGAATTAATTTTTGTCACAATTCCAGTAATACTACGGTACGGAGTCTTCCAAATAATAAATAAAAAAGCTTTAATATTAACGTTAAGTAGCGACTAAATTACTGTCACGTTCTGTAATAGTTACATAATTAGTATGTTAGCTTCTTTCTATATATGGTTAAATATCACGATGTTATCACGTCATGCATATATAGATGTAGTTATGGTACTATATTAAGCTTATCTATATATGTATTCTCATGTTGCCATACTTGGCATGATAGTCTATTTGTAATGTCTAAACTAGGGAAACCTTTCTGTTAGTGATGATCTTGTGATCTACGTTAGTAGATCAAAGGTCACAATAAAGAAAGTATATAAACTCTTCATTTTAACAATAAAGTTAGTTCTTCAACTTAATTACTGGGTCTCCTTGCTGAGTGCAGATCTAGTACTTGTTACAAAATTTGGAAGTTGTAACAATTACATTTACGCCCTTCATTATAGTCCGACTACAGTTATAATATTTCAATATGTTTAAATCTGAGAATTGTAAAAGTTTAAGATTCAACATTAAACTCTTATTAAAAGCGGAGAATTAAAAATAACTCATTTTCATCTCTAATTATATGATCGAAGGCTATCATCCATCGTTATTTATACTTAATTTTTTTATTAATATTGATAAGCTTTATCAGGAACATCACTAGCAATCATTATGTGTAGTAATATGTATATGCAGTAGCAATATTATATTCTAATAATTTCTCACGGTGTTAGAGGCCACCGTTAAGTATAAATACGTTGCATTGATCGTTGTACAGTTAATAACTTGCCATTAGGCTATAGATTGTAAAAGTAATTCATTTTCCAGTAAGGGCAAGCGAATTAGTTAGAGGCTTCATTTGTAAGCGAGCTCAAAGTTCAGGTCGCATTATCATCACCACTCCCTCGTGTTATATGCGTGCTCTAGTGTATTTTAAAATAGAGCAGAAAGTGATATAAATTTTGGTCTAAGAATATATCGCAGCCATGTCATTTATTAGCATTAATTTCCATGTACAGTATATATATATATGTATATATATACTCTGTAGCTGCTCGCGAATATAGATAAAAGGTATAAAAGCGAGTTACTGTTTACAATAAAGAGAATTCATTATTTTATCGTCTACGAATGAGGAGAAGATCTCTATCGTTCCTACCGTAAAACTTAAGGAAAAAGCTTATAGTTACCACGGGAAATTAATCTTGATACTGTAAGTTACTATATTCTATATGAGCAAAATAGTCAATTATTCCCAAACGGAAAGTATAAGTAGGCATCTATGACGTCAGTATCAGCATATCAACAGTGAACTGCCAAGTAGAATAATATATTTCAGCACTATTCTGTAAGCAAAATTAGCCAATGCAGAAATTTATAGGTAGTCATCGGGTAAGCTCAATTTGGCTGCATACTACCATTTTGTAAGCTATTGACATCAACATAGGAATGTCTAGTCGACATTATAATAGTATATAGCATGTACTTCAGAAAATGGACGAAAATATCGAGCTATTAATTTACCCATTTCATCATGCATATCCGATGATTGATCACTATTTCAGCATGGAATGCAGAAATGGCTCATTTCAAGGGTTAGAAAATAACATTTCGTTATTAATACACGTTTTTACCAAGGTATAAACAACTAAAATCAGGCATCGGCTTTGCCTAGGAATGTACATTATAGTCGACAGTATAATAGTATGTAGCATGTACTGCAGAAAATGGACGAAAATATCGAGCTATTAAATTTACCCATTTCATCATGCATATCCGATGATTGATCGCTATTTCAGCAAGGAATGCAGAAATGGCTCATTTCATGGATCAGAAATAACATTTTGTTATTAATACAAGTTTTTACCAAGGTACAAACAACTAAAATCAGGCATCGACTTTGCTTAGGAATGTACATTATAGTCGACATTATAATAGTATGTAGCATGTACTGCAGAAAATGGACGAAAATATCGAGCTATTAATTTACCCATTTCATCATGCATATCCGATGATTGATCACTATTTCAGCATGGAATGCAGAAATGGCTCATTTCAAGGGTTAGAAAATAACATTTCGTTATTAATACAAGTTTTTACCAAGGTACAAACAACTAAAATCAGGCATTGGCTTTGCCTAGGAATGTACATTATAGTCGACAGTATAATAGTATGTAGCATGTACTGCAGAAAATGGACGAAAATATCGAGCTATTAAATTTACCCATTTCATCATGCATATCCGATGATTGATCGCTATTTCAGCAAGGAATGCAGAAATGGCTCATTTCATGGATCAGAAATAACATTTTGTTATTAATACAAGTTTTTACCAAGGTACAAACAACTAAAATCAGGCATCGACTTTGCTTAGGAATGTACATTATAGTCGACAGTATAATAGTATGTAGCATGTACTGCAGAAAATGGACGAAAATATCGAGCTATTAAATTTACCCATTTCATCATGCATATCCGACGATTGATCGCTATTTCAGCAAGGAATGCAGAAATGGCTCATTTCTTGGATCAGAAAATAACATTTTGTTATTAATATAAGTTTTTACCAAGGTACAAACAACTAAAATCAGGCATCGGCTTTGCCTATACTGTACTATATATTTTTACCACCTGATTGAACATGTATAGTCATTTTTGCACAAGTTAAGACGATCATCCCAGTTCATTCTCCTTTTACTGTATACGGTGATATATGCAAGAGGATACTGTATGATACAGTCATTCTGTATGACCCCTTTCACTGAACTATTGCGTTTATAGAGTTGTACTGAAATCACTCCATGAAGCTGCAGCAGCCCTCGGCCGCAAATACTTTGTTTATAGTCTAACTTTCGATCATCTAACGATAAGTTTATGTTTTATGGACTCAACTTGGTATCCATTGCAGCAAATAGACACCGAATATAGTGCTGATAGTGTTGAATGGTGTCCTCATCAAGCATTCGATGACGTGGTTGTGTGTGGCACTTACCAATTAGCTCAGAATGATGGTGGAACAAATTCGCGCTTAGGTCGTGTGTTATTATATCAATTGCAAGATGATCAATATTGGATCGAGCACAGCAGAATAAATACTCCAGCAATTTTAGATATGAAATGGTAATTTAATCCTATTGATATAATTATAAATGTGCACTGAAGTCTCCATTTCTACTCAGTACTCCTATTTGTGTATGTGTAGTGCTGGCACGAAATGAAATTAACCTTAAGATTGTACTGCTGTAAACTCAAGGTGCTACTGTAGGGAAAACACGTTGTAGGGCAATTTCAGATGAATAATGTTTGTATAGCTACAATTTGAATAGTACAAGGCTGTAACCATGTTCGTAAGTTAATAGTATTCTACCGTAAACTGATCGTTTTCGTAAAATCTTTCATTATTGAAGGCTAGCTGGTAATCGATTTTATACGCAATTACAAGCTCTGCACTATGTGCATTAAGTTGTTTTGCCCAGTTTTGTAAAATGAGTGTTGTCATTTTGACTAGATAGCGGTAAAATATGAACGTAAGATAAGGCTTGAATGTCATTTCAATCAATTATTATAGTAAAATGTCTGGAAAAAATAGTGTAACAGAACTTCAACTTCTTGTAAACTGTTATCAAGGAATGTCTACCTTCAGGGGTAAAGCTGTCTAACTTCTTGTCACAAAATTTTACGATTTATACGTAATCCTACAATTGAACTTGCAATTTGGACTGTCTTCGTATTATCTAGTAACTTTAAAGCTAACTTTTTTTTTGGGGGGGGGGGGGGAGAGAGGCTGCACGATAAACAAAATTCAAAGCGTTTATAATAGCTAACTGTAAGCCTACCATCGTTTCATTGTACTCCCTTTAGGTGCTGCCAGCAAAATTTACCTGTGATTGCTTTAGCGGATGCCGCTGGATGCGCTTCACTCTATTCTATTGCTGACGATGAAGGAAAAATCGGAGTTAGCCGTAAAAATAATCTATAACTAAACTTTTGTTCGATCTCTAATAGTAGCATAGTACGGAGGTATATTAGATATTTTATACCAATCCAGCTCGGTACTTCAGTATAACGGGTAATAATTAACCTTAAATACATGTATATTATCATGAAATATTTCATTTTACGGCTTTAATGTAGTTAAATCTTTTAAATTCTTGCTGCTTCGATTCGTCAGCTTTGGCTCTATCATTAGATTGGTCTTCGCGATGCAAGTATGTTAATATATTAATAAGCTACTATTAAATGCGTCAACCATGAATTATGTGCGACCATAACAGATTACATGATAAACAGATACTAGATCTTTTGCACGAATGTAATACGCTTATACCTACCTACTCAAGGAATGCTAAAGTTTAGAACTTGAATAATCCATGACTTGTTGATGATACTTACCGCATACAGTGTTACAGTATCTTGACTAAGATTGTTTACTACTAAAAATTCTAACAAGCTTTGGTTCTGAATATCCATCAATGATAAGAAGTTAATTTTTAACGTGCTTATTATATAATTTTATTCATAAAGTGCAGATCGATTGGCTGTTAGTGATTCTACAGGGAAACTAAATATATTTCAAGCTGGTTCTGGTTCCTCATTAACTGCAGATCGGCGATGGTTAGCTCATGATTATGAAGCTTGGATAATTGCATTTGATCGATGGAATGATAACATTGTATATTCAGGTAGGTTAAAGTTTGCATTATCCACATTACATAAATAATTTCTAATTTATGCACAGAGGGTAAAATAAGCTAGCACTATTGTACATTAAGGTGGTGATGATTGCAAGCTAAAAGGATGGGATCTTCGGACAGAATGTTCAAGTGCAGTATTTACTAGCAAGCGGTTAGTGATTGAAAACAATAAGCTCACCTGATGACCTAAAATCATCAATGTTTTTATCTATTTTAGTCATTCTATGGGCGTTTGTAGCATTCACTGTAATCCACATAAAGATTTTATCATCGCAACCGGAAGGTAATACCATTTTAACATCTATGTTATATATATTCACCCAATAATAACAATTCTTTTAACTACATTCCACTCTAGCTATGATGAAAATATTTTCATATGGGATAGTCGCCATATGACTAAACCATTGAGCCGTATTGAAGTTGGGGGTGGTGTGTGGAGACTGAAATGGAATCCGAATATACCCGATATTTTACTTGCAGCATGTATGCATAATGGCTTTTCCATTATCAGTTTAGAAAATTATGACGGTAAACTTTGTTGAATTATTTGTCTTGAATGTACTAAAATCTGTGTAAAATAACTTCCTTTTATTTCTAAAACGCGTCCTGGAATTATAGAACCTACGATTGTTGTTTCATATAAAGAACATAGCTCCTTAGCTTACGGTTGCGACTGGAAAGTAATGAAAGAAAAATCTGATCAAGAGCAATCGCCAAAGCCTTCTAATGAGCTAAAATGTGATCAACTTGTTGCATCATGCTCGTTTTACGATCATTCTCTTCATCTATGGTACTGGAGGACTGGCGTAAATTTGTAAAGCTTGCGAAAATTTTAAATGAATTCTATTCAAAGCATACATACTCGAAAAGTTGTCCACTCAAACATGGTAATAATTCGATAATGATTTCAATAATGTGCTATTGGGACTTTACTTTTTCGTTTCGATCAGTGCTTTGCACTCTCTTTGTAAATAAAGAATTTTATGATACCGCTTGACTGAAAATTTGTTTACAATATTCTACCTGTTGATGAGTATTAGCATCATACAGTATATATCTTTGCTATGTGTATCCTAAGAACTGATTCAGAGTATAACCGTACTTTAAGTGTAGTTTGTAGAAAGTGCTTTCATGCTCAATATATTATGGATGCTTTTTTAAGCCTTGTACTTTTTAAATACTTAAAATTGGTCTATAGTAAAGTTTCTCGACTTTGGTCGTTAATTTAAAAACGGTAGATGTAGCCAATTCTGTACTAGTAAAGTAAATATTTCAGAACTTTGCAACGTAAAATCCTTTGAAATGACCCTTGCCCGGATTTTCTGTTTACTATATGTAATATAGTCAAAGAGTCATTTTATAATAATTAATACAGATTAAATTAAATGAATGAGTGAGTACGTGACCAAAATCCACGGCAAATTTGCAAACTATTATTCACTCCTTAACTCAAAATAAATTTTTTAAACAAATGCAGTACATAATTAGTTAATTATTAGATTTTTAAAGCGAATTTTTAGTATGTATACTATGGAAATAACTTTCTCCTTTTTTATCATTACTGGTAACAGTAATATAAATTAAAAGTTCGCTTTTACGCGGCTTTAGCATAGCTAAAGATTGCAGTATTTTCGCCTTCTCTTAAGAAAAAGATTTTAAATTTACATTAAAGTATGATCGCTTCCAGTTGCTTTACTAATAGTCATCAATTACAATTAGTAAACTATTTCCTTCTACTTATAGTTATGGCTAAAAATAGATTTGACAGCAGAAAATTATTTTAATAGTTTCATTTGCGTATTTAAATCAATTAATGTGTAACTGTTTAGAAGATTCTCCTATTGATGAGGAATGGCCCAACTGCATAATTATTCTACGTAATCCATTAAAAATAAGTTATTTGTGCAGTAATTCCGATTTCTAGAAAGTTAGAAAACGCATCTTCCTCTTTTCATTTAAGCATAAAGTTGAGAATTTCTGTTCAATGCTCTGCAATTGTAACTAACTATAGCTTCTTCCTGTTTCCACGCTATGGTTTTGCTATTTTAAGAAAAGTAGTAATCATGATACGAGTATATTCTTCACAGGATGCAATTGACCTTCTGGAAATGCTAATTCTTATGAAGATGTTGGATACAAATTGATTTAGTTTTCCTCGTCTATTTTGTTTTTAATAGAATTAGACCGAAACCTGTGCTGATAATTAAGAAAATTTCTTATGATATAGATTGAGAGAATAATTAATAAAAATAGCTCTTGCGGTTTATTGTTAATAGAGTTCAATCAGTAGCTGTATGATATTCTTCTTATGGCGGTAGATTGAAAAGGACAATTAAAGGAAGCTCTTGCTGCTTATTGCTATCAGAGTTGAATTGAGAGCTGGATGATGTCTTTTTACTTACGATAGACCATTGAAAAAGATAATTCCAAAAAATTCTTGAAGTTTATTATTAATAGAATTCAGTCGGAAGCTAGATTGATATTTTTTACATATGGTAATTGATTGAAAAGGGTAGTTAAAGTATGCTCTTGCAGCTTAACGTTAATAGAGTTAAAACTTAAAAGTCGGGGATCATAATTTCATTTCTTAGGTGATAGACTAATAGTGCAAGCTGTTACAGCTTATTGTTGATAGAGTCAAAATTGGAAGTTGGGATAAGATTTTTCCATAGGATAATAGAAGTCATCTCTTGCAAATCTACACTAATGGAGGTGAAAAACGACCCCTTTATGGGGTTATTTTCTAATCGTGTATCCATAATATAGTTTCGTAATATCTTTAACATTGCCATTGAAGTTCTAACAGAGTTTGAAAATTAGGGAACTGGATTAACCCCTCTAATTAACTACCAAGAGAATTAAAAAATGAGGCACCATGGGAGATTCTAATCATATCTATAACAATGGCAAGATCGTATTCTCATCATTCTATTCCTTCAATTTCTAACAAAATATAGGGTAGCGAAAATCTTACTTGCAAAAATGAGAGAATTATGGTTTCAATTCAAAGCTAATTTATCTTGCTTCCTCTCTGCCTTGGTATAATTTGAAATTGAACAACCATCTTGATAAGAAAATTGATTGCTTCGAACTTCCTTCTATAGCAAATACACATAGAGCTAAGTTTATATAGACTCCAACGAAAGCAGTACGATTGAAACTGGCTGTCTTTAGACAATATTCATGGACTAAGATCTGAATAATGAATACATATAGATACAATTTGCTTCCATGTGAATACATTTAAACACAGTTCATGCCAACTCTGAAAATTGAAAGGATTAACGGTCCATTCCAGTCTTCAAATCCAATTCCATTCAAATCTATGTCTATTCTGGGAATCCACTTTTACTGCAAATACTTTAGGTTTGACATGATCATTCGATCTTATCAAGGTAGCACAGACACTAAATAGGTAACAGGGTATGATCAAAAATAGCTATAAGCTATTAGGGTTCATTAATTGAAATCAATTAGTATTTGAATTATTAATAACAATGCAATCTTCCTTTCAAACCCAATTAAAATTCGACTTATACTCATTCTTAATTCGAAGATCTGGTTGATGATCATGAACTATGACTTGACAATAAGAATGCATGTAAATCTTAGTAGATAAATTTCGAATTGAAAATAATTTTCAATTCTATCAACCTTCGCTACTGAAGGGGAGAAAAAGGTGTTAAATAGGAAGGAAAATTTTAACTTGTCTTGAACTCAAGAGCTGAATTAACAAAATCAATTTATAATTCATAAGGATGATGGAAAGTACTTTTATTTTAACATTGGGTAAACTATTATTAATAAATTATTAATAATGCAAATGTATTGCCTTTTTATAATAACATTCTACTTTACAACTAAAACAACTAAGCCAATGAAGGAGGAATTTTATTTGGCCTATTAACCATGTACTTCCGGCATCGGTTGAGGCAAGAGTCATCATCAAACTACTTTCCTTTTTAATTTAATCTATCAAAATTTCAATGCCGTTTAAAATGGACTGTAATATATTTCTTAGCACATAACAAGAAGATCAGTAAATAGGATGGCAGTAATATAGCTCCGATTGCCTTATTCTTAAGGGTTAGCTTTTATTCTACCTCCAGCGTACGCAAAAGCGGTTGGTTACGCCATCTACAATTGTGTGTCATAAATATTACACGGATTACTTGGTCGATTTAATGATACAATTTTAAAGTTCTTTTTAATCTACAGTTGAGCAACTAACAATCTATGTAGGCTAAAAGCGGTATCAGCTAGATGGTAATAGACAAATTTTACTTTGCAAGAAAAATTTGTCCAAGGGACGAATTCAAATACTGTAAAATCGACTATAGTCTGATTCTAGACCTCTCTTTTTATCATTTTAAAGCGGTACAGTTGTGCAAAAAGTGGTTTATTATCTATAATTAGATTAAGTATACAGTAAGTAAGGATTAAATAATTGCTCTTGATATGTATTCAAGGTGATAGATGGTTTAGAACAGAGGATTGTTTAGCAGTATCATGAATACGCCATATTCCTGCTCAAGGGGGGCTTTAATAGTATTATGGTCGATTGGCTATTTTTAAATTAATCATTTTTTCTGTTACACTCAATTCAAAGTCAATAACTAGCTATCATAGTAGTTTTAGAAATTGCATACTGAATGGCATTTTTATAAAATTGACAAATGGAGTGTAGAGAATAGCATAGAATGACAGTCAAATAGGGTCTAAATTTCTTATTATATAATTATAAATTTTTTCAAGAACATGCTTCTTTAAAAAATGGGAGATTGTCTCCGTATTGTTCAAGATATCTTATGCATAAACTAGTTGTTACGGTGTTGGCTTGTTATTAGGATAGTTTAATAAGTAAAGTAGTAGTTAGTATGGAGAATATCCATATTTGTAGTGCTAGGTAAGATAAGTAATGCCTAAGGTGGATGTTGTTTGGGATAGCTCATTACATATTTGATATTGATTGTTATTGAGTGATAGATAGCAGCAAGATGATTCAAGTTCTAGTTGATGATAGTTGAATTAGACAACCTACAAGCTTAGATTAAGATTAAGTATGAGTAAGAGATTCAAAATATTTACTGATAGAAAAACTATGTAAAGAACATCTCAGTTCGAGATGTTACTCCTAGTAAGGTATAATAATAATACTGTTGTTGTTTACAAGTTAGATGGTTCCTATAAAAACGGGAACATTTGAGTTGAGTGGTGTGGTAAAAAGTTGTAGATGTATCTTTGCTAATAAAAGTTTCATCTTTACAGTATTTTGCTGTGTGAGTTTAACGTTAAGTAAAAGGGCGTTTAAGTCAGTAGCTGCTTATAGACTTTTACTGTACGTTACCTTGTCGCAGAAGTGAAATTGTGACACTAGTTTAATTTAGTTAAAAGCTTCAAAATTGATAGAAAAATAACTTATAATGATAGTAAGTACAGAAGCTGCAGCTTAAAGATCCATGTTTCCCCTTAATATTGCTGCTTATGAAGTTCAATTCCTTAAACAAGGGCAGAGAATTAATTTTGGTCATAGTAAAGTGGCGTGAAAATGTAAAACTCCAAGTTCTTACCATCAAAGTAAAAATTTCCATCGATTTACTCTCATTTCATAGAAAAATCATATTCCCAAGTACTGTAGATCATTATACAGACACCTTTTTACTAGCCCGAAGCATTTTATACTGTAGTAATATAACATGCAGAAGTGCTCAATCCAAGGAATAAATGGAAGTAAATACTAAGCTGCGGTACTGTGCAAAATTTGTAACTACTACAGAAGTATGTTATATGATACTCGTACTGTCTAATCTAATTAGCA